ACAGTAAAGCAACGCCCAAGATGATGCCTAAGATGCGACGGAAAGTAATGAAATATTTCATTAAGTTAAGTAAGCCGTCGTTGATGTTTGAGAAACAAAGGAAAATAGTGGCAAAAACCGACACAAAAAGCAAAACACGACAAACTGTTTGGTAGTGAAATGGCTTGAATTAGAAACGAGGGGAGGGGACAGCGTCAGTTTAATAATCAGATAAACCAGATAAATTACCTACTAAAACGACATTAAAGTACTTGACGGTATCAACTCCATGAGAGGAAAGTTAATGCAGGATGGCTTAGTGGGTTAGGACGAAAGCGAACTGGTGAAAATTCAATCAGTTTCTGTAGAGTTCAATTAACCCGATAAGATTCTCCAGATGAGGCGAATGAACACAACTGATTACCGGTTTTGTAGGAACCGAGATGCTGTCTTGCAGATCACAATTGGTTGCGCAAAGGGCACAGTGCATCCCAAATTGAATAGTACAACAGTCTACAATGCAAACAACTACGCACGTTTGTTAACCCATGAACTCAAGTCAGACACTCTCAACAATAGCACCTAACAATTCTACGGCATAGATACACTCGACTTTTAAAACCCTCTTTTTGTTATAATCCTATCTACGCGGAAACCCTAAAATGTAACGAACAAAATGTGTGTCCGGCTGTTAACATCGAAACCTGTCATCTATGTAAGCTGTATCCACGATTGCAACTACACCATTCGAATGACGTCCCTGACCAATTATTGTGCAAAGTTCCACTGCTCCGGTGTAGTTTTCAGTAAGACAGCTTAACCCGCACTGGACTGGAGCCCGATCGGCAGTCTGCTTGGCGGAGTGATACTCAGAGGTTCAAGCAAAGTAAACAGTCGTCACCCGGATGGCGAAAATTGTTTGTTCTGTCAGCTTACGGTCCTAGAGACTGCAGACCGGAATCAAAGATATCGTTTAATCTAAAGCTGCATGACCTCCAGCATAAAGCGAATCCGGATGATATCGTGATTTCACAAGTCACGGATGCTACAGTTGGTCGTTTAACTCAAACAGGAAGTACGTGAGTAGTCCTTTCGGGATAGAATCTTGTAGCTCGGGAAAGGGAGAATGACTGTTTGTTTTGTGCACTGAACATCACCTATTCATCGCGAATAGAAGTCTCAGACGTATAACGGAGCTGCATACACGATTGCCGACCGTGCTGAAGCATACTCCTCAAATCCGATTATGCCAAGTTATTCATGTACTTCGGTGGGTTTCGAATGCACGATACCGCGACAGACGAACTACTCCAACCAGCATTTTATTCGTCTTTCAAAATGTACTAGCACAAAATCTAGAACTATCTGATAAAAATCAGCTCCGGTCGCTCACCAATAATGCTCTGCAATCCGCTGGATTCGTGAGGAGGGGCTCGACGCATAGTGTCGTGACACCCTGCATCTGTAAGAAGTGAAGTGCTTTCTTGACGCATGGCGACTACTCTCGACGAACGGTAAACACAGCAAAACACGACTCGTCACGGGAAGGAAATTGAAAGTAAGCTGATTCAGAGGCAGCGAAATCTAATGATCGTAAGGTGCATCAAAAATGGAACGTGCTGCCACCAAGGGCCAAATCCGCAAGTGTTCCATCTCATCGGAGTCACCGGTAGAAAAGCACTGGATGTGAGTGAAACGACCCACTAGGCTAACGGCTCACCTACTGACAATCAACAGATACTTCTTGTTCGGCGTATGGAGCACTTTGAGGTACAATTTCCGAGGCTATTAGTCTCCTCTTATAAATATTCTTTCATAAACCCCGGATTCTGTTTTGACATACCCACATGCTGAAAAGTGAATTCGAGACAGATCCAAGCCATGGGACGTCACAAAGCGCCTAGCCTCGATAGCCTTCCACAAGTTCCATCTAGGGATGATGGAATAAAACTTGGTCTTTAAAGTTTGCAACACTGAGCAGGTCCCACTCTCGTGGGGGAATAGAATGTCGTCTTCATCTTTAAAAAGGGTTTGCACAGTGACTGCACCAACTACGATGACATAAGCCTAATCTCAATGATGTCAGGGTTGATAGAATGAAACAATCTTAGTAGATTGTACAACATGCGGAAAGAGCACACCCGCGAGAAGCAGGCTGCGTTTGCACCGGTCGTGGATGCAGATCTTCACCCACTGACAGTTCCTAGAGTATTCACATGATTCCCACAAACCGTCGATCATTGTTCTTAGAAACCCGTGCAGCTTTCGGTTCCGTCAAATAGTTTGCACTATGGAAGAAGAAGAATGAGTTAACAGAGAAGTATGTTGACCCTGTAACAGTTGTATCATCATACTTCACTNCCTGTTGCCATTTCCGTTACAGTACGGCGGGGCCGTTTTATTTTCCCCGTTTCTTTTCAATTTTCCCAAAGTGGATGTTCCTTCCGGTCTAGCGAAGGTGAAATTCAACTCGTCCCAAGGAACAGTTTGGTCTAGAGTGTGCCCATGACACAATTTTGCTAGATGACAAAACGCTGACAGTATGGCACGCTTGGCGATAGGGGGCTTTGCTCATACCAGGGTGGAACCATCGAGTGTTGGGTGAGGAAAATTATTCACTAAAGGAAGAAATCGCTCTACACCGCTTCTGATTACTCGGTCACATTTATGTTCAGCTTCAGTTCGAACAACCATGCGCGTTGGTGTTGCGATTTCTGATGCTGTCTTTCGAATGCCCAAATGGAAAATATTCGGTAGTCATAGGATTTAATGAAATTCAGGTGCATGATCGACACTTTAAAACACCGCAATACCACTCAATGTATCTAACCACCAGCTATCATGATCCCCATCCAGAAGGCCAAATGAGACCTATACGACAGTCTCCTGGATAAGGTTTTCAATCCCTCATACCAGGTCCTAGTTCGAACATCTTTAACTTTTTTCCATCCACTACCTGCCTCAACAAATATCACGCAACGTGGAAACCTATTTGGTGACATGCGCAATCCAAACCCCAAACAAAGTAATCTGAACACGTCAGACACTCGAGCCCGTGACTGAATGCGGATACCCAAAGATCTACGCATAACCTCAGCATTGTTTGTCAGACCGCTACATAAGATTAGTACAGTGCAGTTCGAACACCGACAGTCCATCTTTATCCTGTTTTATTAGGAACCAAGTCTGTGCACCGTAAAGTATAAATGGCCAAACGCTCGACCTTCTAAAGTCAATCGAATATCGCGACGACGCCAAAGTTGTCTCAAGTTGGCCAATGCCAACCGAGCGTTCTAAACGCGCGACGACACTTCGTTCGTCATGCGTCCACCGAGCAAAGGACGAAATTTGTGTAGAGTGAAATTGGGGACTGGGTCGACCCAGTCTTGTAGTAACGTTTCACATATTGAAGGAGCAAAATGTATACCGAATGTGGCTATCCTAACACTCCAACTATCCACAGCCCACCAAAAATCTGAGGGATGACCGCGAGAAGTGGTGGGTAAGGAACGCCGTCTTGAACGTTGGGCTGAACATTTTAAGGCACAGTTCAGCTGGCCTCCGTCGGCACAAAACCTCCCTATGACCGCTTCAACGGTGCAAATACAGACGGTTGGCATCAGTCCTCCATCAGAAATGGAGGTTTTCCGAGAAATAAATGATCTCTAAAGGCTTCCGGCCTCGACGGGCTGTCTCCAACGACTTTTAAGGATGGAGGTTCAGCGTTAGTTTTGGAGTTGACGAAACTCCTGGGCTCAGTGTGGGAGCGGGAAGTTCCAATGGAATGGTTTGAATCGGTGATTATACCGATTTACAAGAAAGGTGACAGATCCTCTTGTGGAAACTACAGAGGAATTGGTTGGATCAACATCGTCTCTAAACTTCTCGTTGGTATTATACTCCGTCGATTGTCTGAAGCACGTCAAGAGTGCACACGTGAGAACCAGGCTGGTTTCAGACCTGGTGGAGGTTGTATCGATCACATCTTCATTCGTCACAAATTTTAAAACACAGACACTCCTTTCGTAGACCCACCATCTCTGTCTTCCTCGATTTAAAAAAAATTATCACACACCAGTGGCTGCAGAACAGTAGACGGAGCATCATGAAGAGATGCTGTTGACAAAATATTGAAAATCGGTTCTCGTAGCTCGGGTGAACTGAATTCCATTTCGCCTGTTCGCCGAGCTT